AAAATTAATTTATATATATATATATATATATATATATATCTTAAGGTCAAGATTATTGATTGGAGGGTTTTGCCACATCAAAACAATATGTTTGGTTCTTGAGGTGCGGTCTTATTTCTATAGCATAAGGTTGATAGCTGATATAATTTTTTTCCATCCCCCAAATCCCACACAAGTGAACTTTATGCACGTGTAAAGCCTCCTATTACAAATGCCCGCGCCCATCTTGAATCTTCGCAAGCCTCAAGAGGCCACAGCGCGAAAGGATTATTCTCTCTCTTCAACTGCGTTCTCAGAGTATTTAAAGAGAGAAGGGATTTAATCCAAACCCTAGAAATTGATTCAGGGTAATAATTTTACATACTCCTACTTCATTTTTCTGTAATTTTATTCAGAATTTAGTTACAGCTTGATTTAGTACAATGAAAGAGTTTACTATTATTTGTTGCAGAAATGGATTCTCTTATATCGGTTTCCAATGTACAAACTTCGTCGATATCAATCGGTCGAGCCGTGGCTGTGATTCTCGGCTCGCGCCAGAGAGACCTTGATGCTTCATTTTCTCAGATTTGTCGCAGTTATCAGAGAAGAAATGGAGGTTCCACTAATCCAATGTTCTTATTAATCAGAGTTTTGGTTTTCTTATTAATTTTGTACCTTTTGTTAATTATTTGATTTTTGGTGAGTTTCAGGTTTGCTGGAGTGCCTGCGTAAATTGAGGAGGTTTGCCTGCATTTGTGTCGAGAGGGGCGAGCCATTGGATGAGGTGCTCATCCCCATGATCGAACATGTAAGCAAGCTTGCCTTATTTGTAGCAGCTATCCAGTTTTTGCTTTGAAAATTGTTTGTTCAATTTGTTCTCTCTTTCGTTTTTGTTTTGGAAATCAAGTTTCTGGTTCCCTGTCTGTTTTCCTGGGCCTCAAAAAGTTGAAGTTGTGTTCTTCTGTTATCCCAATAGATTTAGTAATTCTGAATTATCCATAATATTATCGTCACATAATTACAATTAATTATTATATAGTTATCCTGCAATTGTAATTTTGTGTAAACTGCATGTTAATATGAGAACTTTTATATGTAAGCTAATTAGATCTTATACTTCCATTTATGTATCTCCTTTTCAGTGTGTCAAATTTGTCATGTAGTTTCTTTTAAGATAATATACTTTGCCTCATTCATCATTTTTAAAATTTGAAATGTATAGGTTTCCTTCCAGTTGATCTTCCAAATGACGGCAGGCTTTGTACATTATGGACTTTTCTCTCTCTGGTCAGTCAGTAAGTAAGTCAATCCTTCCCTCTGGTTAGTCTAGTGACTCTAGTCTGAGAAAGAGAGGTAAGAGCGCTTTCTCTTTGATTCTAACTCTAAATAGAGGAACTAAAGCTCTTACCACTGGTTGTCTTGCTTGTTGGTCAGTCAGTTCTTCTTTCCCTCACTCTGGTAAGTAAGTAAGTAGTTATTCCTTCCTTTCCTAAGGGTAGTCGGTTAGTAAGCCCTTCCCTCCTTCTCCTAAGGTATAAGTAGTTTAACCGGCAGTTATAGGAGCGTCAGGGAAGGGTTTTACATATTTGATTAAAAAAGTGAATCATCATGACTTTATTTTAGTGATTTTGGATACATGCGTGTCAGTTACAAATTCTAGATTGGATAGAGTATCTTATTTGGCAATCTTATTCGCAAGCATGATGGGGATTGGTATTTTCATTTATAAGAACATTCTAACCTGACAGTTGGTTTGCCTTTCATCTGTTGAAATAGTTTGTTGTCTCTGTTGTAGGCAGTGAAATCGAGCAGTTCAAAGAATTGCAAGAAAATTTGTAGTATTCTTTGTTGGTTATTTGAAGATGAAGATCTTTTTGGAGCCCTTTCAACTAATCTTACAAGCATTATTGTGAAAAAGGAGGATCACTACATTGCCCTGGGGTGGTGCAAGCTAATACAATACCTTGTTGATCATGAGATAATGTCAAATCAGTATTCAGATGGAGGTATCTCAACAAATGCTTCTTGACTTCTCAAACTTAAAGAAATTGTTTTATCTCATATAGATGTTATCGGTCAACAAAGTTTATCTCATATTTTTTTGTGGAATATTTTATATCACAACCTATATGGAAAAAGCTGGCCAATGGTCATCTTACTTCGTCCGTTTATTTTTCCCAAACAAACTATGGTTTCTAATTGCACTCTTTTTTTCTTTCTTTTGTTTTGTTTTTTTGGGATGATTCTAAGTGGAAGTTTTCCATATTATTGATTATGAAATAGATCCAAGTATTATTGGAGGACAGTGTAGAAGTTTTTGTACAATTGAATGGTAATTCCATGTTGTATCTTTGATTGCTGACAAATCCAAAAGTAGAGATCAAATATTGTTGCTTTCAATGAACGTTTCATTGCGGTGACTGAGTTTATGCTCTCCTCATCCAGGTTCATCAAGATGATTCCTCGACATCTCTGTTTCCAAAGCTTCACTTATTGTATTAAAAAAAAAACCAAATTAATAGAAGTTATCATTGCTGATTGAGAGAAAGGATGGACATGTCAACAGAGCTGTTATCATAGCATGTATGCTTAGTGTGGCTTTGTAAAGTTGCCATGGAAAAGGCCCATCGACCTGCCTCTTACAAACCCTTTCGTGTCTCATGGTTACACCGTGAATCTTGGAGCCATATCAAAAAATAAATGAAAAATAAAAAGGAAATGCTAAACGGTATCTCTGCACTGTGGGATGTCAGTATATATGTTTAGAATGCCCGTGCTTGACGATATTTCTCTTGATTAGCATTACGTGTTTCTATTTTCTATTTTGAAAAATTGAACATCTTTTTTTGGCTTTTGCCTTCCTGGGCATTAGAAATGGCATAGCCATTGCCCCTACTAAACTGTGATATGTGCTGGAGGTTGTCATGCTTGTCTTGGCATGTCTTATGGGCAGTGCCTGTGTGGGCAATATGGGCAATATCATCTTGCCACATTGTTGTACCAAAATATTGCTACCCATGCAAAACACGTTGGCCAGAAGCTTGCAGTTGCCTTACCAAACCACATAAAACGGCATGGACCTATTGATGATCTATGTCATCAAATGCATCACATGTTAGTCCTCATGTTCATAATGGCAAAATTGAACTGGTTGATGGTTATGATAAAATACAAAGGCACTTAATTGTTTTCTATTGAGAACTGATGGGTAGAGCTATGTCAAGTTGCTTGAGAAGCTACCAAGGGATGGAACATCACAACCTTTTGATAAAGATAGACAAATCATGAAGAAAACTAAAAAACAAAAATAAAAATAATGATAGAACTAAGATAAAGAGGGACAAAACAAAGAATGTAATAACATGATAGGAGAAGACAGAAGCATGGAAAATAACTGCAATACCCTCAAATGGAGGGTGCCCTTGAGTTTGATCACATTCACTGTGAGACGGGATTGCGTTCAGTCAAGCTATCATATGTGTCTCCTATAATTGCTATATTGAGCATTAAGCATGAGATGCTGCACTAATTTGAATATCTGTATGAGGTGTTGAAATAATCTGAATTTCTGTGTATCATATAACAAAGTGTAGCCAATTTTCATATTCATAAAATTATATCCAAAGAGAAAATCGGATGAACCTATTCTAATCTTAATATATAAAATTACCGTGCATTCATCTGTCGAGATATTATGCTTTGGTAGTTATTAGCATTCAGGTTGAAATGTGAAGCTTATGTTTTCTTATTTCCTTTTAAGGTTCAGTCTATTCTAGTGGTGAATTGTAACTTGTGATTCTCTGTTTAATAACGTTATGTTGAATGTTAGGGAAACTCCATAGGTCCTTTGATCTAGTGAAGAGTCTATGCCAGTGTATTCCACATCTGTCGTCCATTGTATGTAAGGGAAGGTGAGGATTAGCTCTACACAAGTCAACATGGATATATGCAAGTTCAGGAATTTTACCTTTTAGGTGAATTGAAACCTTGTTTTTCTATTCTTTCATTGATAATTTTGAATGGCATTACAGTTCATTCATTAGATTTGAGTTTCAAGCTTTCTAGGAAATTTTGAAGCATGGTTTTTGGTGTTAACTATTAGATCCTCATTGCAAGAGAAAAATAGAAAGTTCTTTTTAGAATCTACATATTTCCATGGATCTTATTTCTCCCATATCATGATTTTGATAAGCATGATCTTGAGAATTTATGGCTCTTCGTTCATCAGGAGAGTGTTTTTATTTTCACTGCCCATCTCTTCTCCTTGACCTCTTGGACATGCACCAAGTTTTGATGTTAAGTGCTGACATAGGTATTGTGTAATATGTATGTAAAAATAAAGATACATTGAACATTACGTTGAAAAGAGGAATTTTTTCTGATGTTTGCGAGGTTGACTATGTTATCTTGTTGCATTTTTGGCTCATCTAACATTAACATGAGTAAACTATTGTCTTTGATGACTATTCATTGTCTTATTTAGCTTTTCTTTCAAAGTCTGATTTGCAAGTACTTGTGCTTGTAGCATTCTGCAAGATGATTTTGCATTGCCAACACGCCTTTCAATGGCTGCAGCAGACTGCATTTTAGTCTTGACCGGAGCATTAGTGGGATATCCACAGATTTCAAAGGCTTTGAGTAACAGGAAAACATTATATGATTCAAATGCATCCAGAGAGATAGTCGTCTCAACACCTACTAGCAGCGAAAGAGATGGAAGTTCTGCATCCACATCCTTGCATGGGTCAGAGCCTATGGAAATGGGGTTGTTGCTGTGGAATCTTCTGGGTGAACTTGTTGTCCTCGTACAGAAATTACAGGCTGTACGTCTAAACTCAAAGTTTGTTTTGATCAGTCTTATTTGTACGAAAGTGTTCTCTTATCGTATCTGTAGGAATGGTTACATGCTCATGTTCTATACGATTCTTGCATGTGATTAATTCTCTATCAATTTGGGTGTTGGAATGCTCAACTGAGAATCACGAACCTTTACAAGTACTTCATCATGAAAACTTTGATAATGTAAAGCGAGTATCTGAACCACCAGAATTTATTATACTGCACAGGATATAGGAAATGATTAAATGTGATTTTATGTTAGAAAAGGTTTACAATTGTCTGCTGATTGTGAAATATAACTGCAGCATTGTAAATTGGGGGATCTACACTGTAAAACTCATCCTCAGTGAATATTCAACTAACTTGGGTGAAACTTCTGAAGTTGCTGCCTTAGTCACTTCATTATTGGCATTTCCTTCTCCAAACCTTTCTGTTGTAAACTAATAATCTCTAAAAATGTGTAAATCACGTGAAATTGCAGCTGTCCCTCAAATCAAGAAACAATTAAATATCAAGCTGGGTTGAAACTTTAGGTTCTGATGACGGTGTGTAGCCATTAGCATCCATTGTTGATACTGATATTGATTTCACTTTGGAAGTTTATGAATTTGGTAGTATAGCTATAGTGCTGTGCAACGACCACATATTTGGACTATTCTCTGTCAGATAGCCCTCTAGTTGAACCTGTTATTTGCAACTAGTAATACATATGGTTCGTGAACTTTTTAGGGGAATTAGTGTTGGTGAGGGAATTATTTTACCTTCCATTAGAGATCGAACGTGGACTTTGACTTGCATGCTCAAGGAAGAATAAGTTTCTGAATCCTCTTAGGACATCTTTTCGGTTGGTTGAGATCAATAAACCAGAGCTTCGGGGTGCATTTCGGGCCCTTGTTTAGAATACTTAACATGAGCCAATGGCTAATACTGAAATATAAAACTAAATAAATATGCATAGTCTTAAACTCAATTGCCCAAATTAGATTTTCATTTAATAGAAAGCTGCATACTTTTGATCTTCTCCCATTTTATTTTTTTACATATGAAGCAATAAAGAGATAGGGCTTCAAGATCCATTTTCAAGTCACACTGGGCTGTCTTCCCTTTTTTATTTTGTGTTCCCTTTGAGCAAAATTAGGGAATATGGAACATAGAGTTATATAAAAGTTTGGAGAAATCACCAAAATATTTATATAATATATGTAATAAAAATTGGGGTTTTTGGCCACTCAGGTAAATAAAATGCAAAGACTGCGTTATTTGTGAGATTTGGTTTCTAAATTTTCTTCTCAGGTTTCGTAAAATAATAAAATTATAACCATATTTTTTCTGCATACCATTTTTAAGAAATTTGGGACCTACAACAGTTGATGCCTGTTGTTCAAGAAGCCTGAGCCTGGCTTAATTGGTTAGCGCTTGACGATTTGCAAGGCTACACCTTAGGCTCAATTCTACCAAGGATAGGGGCCCTCTCCCCACTGATCCACTCCAAAAAAAAAAGATTATGCACATCAAATCTTCTAAAGATCTATCATCATGAGATGCTTCTGTCACTATACATTGCATCTTAGGGTCCAAACTGCCTATTAGCGAAATTAAATGACTAGTATTGTTTTCATTTGTCTCTTTATGCATACCTTACAGAGTAATATATCGTCTACCTGAATCAAGATTCCCAAGGCTGTATTAAATGAGATACTTTCTACCACATACACTGGTGAAACTAATCTATTGCAGTCTGCCATGGCCAAGTTCTTATCTCCCAAGGTGTCTGAGTCACATACATCACACAACCAAGTCAATTTGAGACTCCTAGTGGTGGATTCACTTGTTCCAGCATGGCTTATTATGGGCAATGCATCAGTTGGAGGTAAGCCATGGGAAGCTCAACAAAAAAGTTCATTATAAGTCTATAAGATATTATGTCAGTTCCAATATACACAATTCAATCCTTGTGGCCCATATACTAGCATTTGGACTGCACTGGCTACTCATTGACTCGAATACACGAATTAAAACACAGTGAGAGCTAAAATGAAGAAGCTTATATACTACAAATACCAGGAGCCCAAAAGCCAATGTTAAATGGGGACCAACACAAAAATTGGTATGGAAAAACATGTCTGTAAAAGTACTATATCGAAAAATAATAAGGTTTTATATAACATGTTTCTCATTTCATTATACATAATGCAAGGTGGTGGAGTGGTAGATTTTGCTCTTCACTAACAAGATGTCACAAGTTCGAGCTGGCCCATTGCTGGAGTGTTTTGTTTTTTATATCCAATAATTATACGTTACATATAAAATTATTTGCAATTTTTTTCTTCTTCATGCGCTCGCAGGGTGGTAGACCTCACCACAAAATTTCAAGAGATTCATGGTTCTAAACATGTGGAGCACCACAATTTTTCAAGAGATATTTGGTTGCTCTACATTTTTGTTTTTAGTCTTTGCAAACTTGAAAGGATAAATAAAATTTATAGGACCTGAAACCTCCTTAGACCAATGTAACCTACACCTGTAAGCTTTGGAACTTAGCTGTTCAAAAAATGTGGACATTTCTATAAGTACCTATAGGCACTAAGGTACGATGTTATCATTCGACATGTATGGTCAAGGTGTTGGGCCGCATATAGAAGTATTGACATGCATCAACACGCTACACATTAAGAATATTCAAGTAGTGCCAAAAATATAAAATCATTAATATAACATCCAATGTTCGAAAACTCAACCACCTAATGGGATGAGCGGTCAAGACGCCTAGGCGGCATCTAGGCAGGTACCCTAGGCGGCTTGTGTCTAGGCACCTGCCTAGGCCGTACCTTACCTGCCTAAGCAGTTTAGTCAAGGCGGCCGCCTTGATGCAACATGCCGAGGGTGGAAAAATGCCCTCGGCTAAGGTTACTTTTGTAACTTTTCCTCCTAAAAAGGGGGAAAGGGTTTTGGGGTGTATTCTAAACCCCGACAACCTAATCCATGGCTCCTAGAGAGATCAAAACTTCCTAAAAACCTCGAATCTGTGATTTATCGAAAGATTGATAAATTTTTATTTTTTTGATTTCTTCCCAAAACATAGGCAATAGTTTGTGGGTACTTTTAGAGCTTTTAGTAGTCGATTTCGAGGACTTTTGGCAACCCAATAGAGGAGGTTTGGGCCAACATGATTTTGATTTTGATATTTTTAAACTATTAGCATATTTTGAATAAAGGTTTTGATTTGTTTTTTGCTATAACGTATTATGTTGTAAATCATTTGTTTTTTCTTTTTTAAATTTTTTTCCTTTTATAGCATATTTACATGTTTGTAGTTGAACGAATTGTTTTGTGATTAATTGAATTTTTCCCCATTTGGATGATGAAATTGGGCCTATATTGAATTCTTTTATGAATGGTTGATTCCTTTTTTGTACAATGTGTCATATTTTGAATTATTTGTGATTGTAAATCTGTGTTGTAATTGTAATATTATATTTCCTCTTTTTCACAAGGGGTTTGGCGCTCTAAAATTGCCCTAAAATCTCCCCAAGGCCTAAAACCCTGCCTTAAGAACTCCTTAGTCCTTGTTTGGTTGGAGGGAGGGCGGGTTTTGTTTTGGGAGTGGTTCCATGTCACTGGGCGGGTGCCTAGATGACTAGGCTGCCAGGTCCCCAAAATGCTTGGCGCCCCCCTTGGCTTTTTGGAACATTGATAACGTCCTATTTGGCACAAAGCTGGTAGCTGGAGTAAAATAGTTTTCTTTATAAGCCACAGTTTCTTTACAAGCCACAGTCTCCTACATAGAATTTTGACTTTCTGTATTATGATCATCATGTGGCTTCATCGTGGAGAGACGAGTAATAAAGGCTTTGAGATCCTTCATGGATGATTTCCTGAATACACATGGTGGAAGTAGTCCCTGGTTGGGTTTCATGCTCATGGCCTTGGAAGAAATTTTTTACAACATGAATCATACTATTATGCAAATTCTCATTTTTATAAATCTCACTTTTGGAGGGCATAAATTCTGATAAGCTTTCTTTTTTTGTTCTCCCTTATTTCTTGTCTCTAATAGATTATAACTGTGAATTAGGATTTTGGATGAAATATAATACAGTTTGTTAAGCGAGTAGGATACAATTTTTTGGAAACTTTGTCATTTGATTGATAAAACAAATCAAAGAGATTTTTAAGTAAAGACCTTATAAGGATGAGAGTGTAGACAGAGAAAGAGTGGGAGAGTGTTTAGGAAATTTAGAGAAAATAAGAGTAGTGAGAAATTTAAGTCACACTCCTAGTTATTTTGGGCACGTGCATTTTATGATGCTCTTGTCACTAGCGATAAAACTTATTCTTAACATATTAAGTTAATGGAAGAGTAGTAATTTTTAGTTTCTATTTCATTTTTAAGCTATTGTTATTTATTTTGTTTAATGTTTTAACCTTTTCTAAAAACTTTTCTGTATTTTAGGAGAAAATACTGTTATAGTATCTCCTATTTAATAATTAGCATATGATAAATATATCTAAGTTTTTCATGAAAGTTTCCTATTTTGTTTTATTACTCTTATTTCTTCTCCATTCTACGTAATAGATTTTTTTCTAAAACCAGGTATTGGAGATAGAACATAAAAGAGACTTTTGAGGAGAGACATACAGACATTTTCTGGCAAGTTTGTGGTTAGATTTAAATAAGGGAGGGGGGAAGGGGGGGGGGAAGAGAGAGAGAGATTAGTAGACTTAGAAAAATGAGTGTACTTAGAAATGTAAAAGTCACACTAGTATTTATTCTCTTTCATACGTGTATGTGCACACATACACACATACAATGCATTTGACGACAGTACTAGATTGCACTCTTGGCAGTATGACGTTGTTTTGTTTGTGTGCAACATGCTTTGCACGGCATTGTTAGTTTGAGCATATATCTTGTATGTACAGGTCTATTTCTCTTTACCTTAGTGCATGATTTTGGTATTTGTGGTGAGGTCTGTTATTGTTCTTAGGTGCTTACAAAGCTAAACATACTATAATCAATATAACGTGGATGGAAATAATTCCATTCTGCAAATTGAGAGTATTTTATTGCTTGCTACATACTAAGAAATAAGAATTCAACGCACAAAGGAAACTTATGCATAAATCTCCATCCATTTCAGAATATGGAACAGCAGATGGTTCACTTTGATTGACAACCACATTTTGTATGTTTTGAATTTATTGAAAATTGAGATTTTGCAGTCTTCTTGAAGTTTGGCTTCTAAAGATCCAATTGTTATTCTTGGTTTACATGCAGTGGAGCAAGAAAAGCCGGCCCTTGCATGCAAAAGGTTTGGGACAAGTATTAGCTTGGTTGCAAGAGTTGAGAGAGTACTGTGGTTCAACACTAGATGAAACAGGTATGATGCTCAATAAGTCTAGTCCTGTGCATTTAACCTATAATCAATGCTGTTATCTTGAACATTATAGCTGTTTCTTTCAATTTCACCTTCAGGAAAACAAATGCCTGATACTGGAATATTGCTGCTGTCTTCTTGTTGGAAGCATTATGTAAAACTTTTGCGCTTGGATGATCACACATTTTCTGTAAATTTCATGGAATTGTTGAAGCAGTATATAGCTGGCCTTCAGGTACAACTAATTCATGCAATTCTTGTCTCTCCAACTTGAAGTTTGTCATGATTTATTTATTTTCTTCTTTTTTTAGGGTGTGTGGTGTTATAGAATTTTCTTTATACCACAACTTTTCTTTGTCCATAAACTTATATTATGATGTATCCTAATGTTTCTAAATGATAGTTGAACTTCTCCTGCATGAATTATGCTTTAAATCTATTGTCATGATTGGGGATAAGTCTCTGACCAAAAAAAAGGAAAAAAAAATTCCCCAAGCAATTGAGTGCTCTCCAAATAGAAATTATATAAGTTCATAAATATGAAAGGTCATTTTGTTGCTATAGATATGTAAGTTCTTTTGGGCAGCATTGTCGTTTCCATTGAGTATTTTGTTCTTATTTGAATGTTTCCTAATTGTGTTTGTCCTTCCATGTCCTCAACGAAAATCGATAGATCATTCTTCATCAATTTTGTAAGCCTTTTTTCATTAGTTCATCTTACTTATGGTTTATTATTTGTTGCAACGCCATTCGGATTATCAGGCATGACTCTCAAAGTCCTTCACATTCCTTGTATAGAATAGATATTTTGGCATTACGGTTGATAAATACCTCACTAAAAATGATTTATATTTGTCAGGTTATAAGACTCTCTTGTTAAATATGAGAGAATCATATATTCTCAATCTTGAAAATGAGTGTTCAACCCCCTTCTTTACAAATATGTGAGTGCCAAAAGAATGAAATACAATATGAACATGTTATAAATGTCTCTGGTACACTTACTATGAAAAACATGCACAACATCCCCCCTTCACATCAGAGCATCCAATGACAGGATTGACCATTGTTATCAAATTCTTTCCGCTTCGGTCGAAGCTTTCGGATTTTAGGCATAAACCGAAGAGAAGCAAAGTCTGGTGCTGCCGCTTTGATCAGATTCGGACCGCTTCGGGTTGCTTAGGTCAAATTCGGACTGCTTCGGGTTTGTTTTAGGTATGCTTCGGGTCTACTTCGGTCAGCAAAGAAATAGCTATATAATTTATTTTTGTTTAATTTTTTAATTTTTATTTTAATTTTTTCCATTATTTGTATATATTTTATATATCAATATCTAATGTATTTATATTAATTTTTTTTTAAAAAAAGTTCGATGTCTTCCCCTGAATCAGCCGAAGCACTGAATTGCTTCAATTTTCTCACCAAAACGAAGAAGACTCCGAAGCGCATGTGACAACATTGGGATTGACATTTCATTTACTAATTAATTGTGTTTATCTTGAATTAAGGACATGATGAACAAATCTGTAACTTTTCTGTTGAATTCAGTGGTGGAAGAAGCATAACGCCATTGCTTAAAGAAGAAGATGTAGTCTCAGATAAAAAACTCAAGGATTTGTTGTTGTAGGTTTCATGTAAACAATGTGTGACCCCAATGTGGGTTGTATATGGGTTGTATAAAGAATGTACCAATTATGGGTGTAGTTGGCCATACAATCTGGAAAAAGACAAGGACTACTGCCATCTTAACATAATCAAAGAGTGCAAAAAATGAATGGAGATCAAGACTCTTAAACTTTGTTAGAAATGCCCAATTTGTCAATAATTTGACAGAACCATGCACCTTCCAAATTATATATATATATATATATATATATATATATATGCTGACGTAGGCCCACTAGCCTACAACTACATATAGGCCCAACGGTCTAATTTGGGCTGATCCAATGATCACGATTGCATTTCATATTTGAATTTTAATTTTTTTATATAAATCCAAATCACTTGAAATATTGGGCGTGTGTTCTTTAAAAATACTAGAATCCCATAAAAATATCAAAAAAATATTTCGTTAAAATTAAATTGATCAACTGCAACATTGCAAGGGTATTTTGGTCAATTTATATTTTACGAAATATTTTTTTTAATATTTTTATTAGGTGCGTGCTGATGAGAAGAATAAACGCTTAAAATTTCACATGATTTCGATTTATAGGAGAAAATTAAAATTCAAATACAAAATGAGATCGTGTCCGTCAGATCGGCCCAGATTGAAAATTTAGCCGTGCATTCTACTCATCAAGGCGCATCTAATAAAAATATAAAAAAATAATTCGTAAAATATAAATTAATCAAAATACCCCTAAAATGTTTCAGGGTATTTTTGTCAATTTATGTTTTTGGAATTATTTTTTAAATATTTTTATTAGATTCTACTATTTTTTAAAGATAGACTTTCAAAATTTCAAGTGATTTGGATTTGTATAAAAAAATGAAAATTCAAATACGAGGCCATTAGTATAATGCCATTTCATGAATGAGGTCATTAGTATAGAAAATGGGTGTGCATATTGAAAGTAAACAAAACAAAGACATTGAATTTCAAATCTCGTAAGTCATAACACAGGGAGAGAGGATAGAGTGTGGGTTTTATAGAGAGAGAAAGGGAAGGGTTTCTTGCTGGTATTGGAGAGAAGGAGAGCGGGAGAGCCGAATGCTCTAGAAAAACTAGAGAGGGTGAGGGAGAGAGATAGAGTGGTTTTTATAAAGAGAGAGATTTCTTGCTGGTGTTAGAGAGGAGAGTGGGAGAGCCATATGCAGTAGAAAATCTAGAGAGCGGGTGAGGGAGGGAGGCAGAGAGAGTGGGTTTTATAGAGAGAGAAAGGGAAGGGTTTCTTGCTGGTTAGAGAGAGAAAGAGGGAGCGAGAGTCGTATGCAGCAGGAAGTTTTGAGAGAAGGTGAGGGAGAGTTAGAGAGAGTGGGTTTTTTAGAGAGAGAAAGGGAGGGGTATCTTGCTGGTTAGAGAGAGGAGGGAGGGTGCTGGTTAGAGAGAGGAGGGAGGGAGAGCAATATGCAGCAGGAAATCTAAAGAGACGGTGAGGGAGAGAGGTAGAGAGAGTGTGAGTTTTTTAGAAAGAGAAAGGAAGGGTTTTCTTTCTGGTTAGAGAGAGAAAGAGAGGGAGAGCCGTATGCAGCAGGTAATTTAAAGAGAGGGTGAGGGAGAGGTAGAGAAACAGAGTGTACTTTCAAGGGCATGGGATGGAGCAGGGACCTGGAGCTTGCACAGGTTGCTTAGCTCCTTGGTCTTCACCTTGCTCCAGGCTGGGGAGTGAGTGAGGAGAAATGGGGGGGAGAGAGAGAGTCAAGAGAGAGATTGAGAGAAAATGGGGCAAGAGAAGAAGGGATGGGATACAGAGAGAAAGAAGTATGAGATAGACTGATTTTTTACCAAAAGAGGAAATTGGGGATGAAGAGAGAATTTCTAGGAAATAGAGAGAGAATGGGCGTGTGCTATAGGGTTTCACTTGGGGAGAGGGAAGGGAAGAGAGCGAGGGGTCACAGGTGGGAAGGGATACATACTACTCTCGGGTACGGGGTGTCAATCGGTATCACGTTTTAGTTTGAACATTTCATTTCATCAAGGCCGTTCAATTTGGCCCAATTAATCACCGCCCTTGGTGCACCCATTT